AGTAGAAACATCACTTCAGTATTTTCAAAGTAGTCCTGGCAAGAATAAAAAATGTAATCTACTAGGTGAAATTTGACTTGTTAAGTTATTTGGCTGCAATCAGTAAACTGTAGAACCCTTTAAAAGCGGCTGGTAAATGGTCATTAAATTCGGGTAGTTAGTAAAGAAATAAATAATACATTGGTAGTTAAAATTATAATAATGATGGATAGTCGCTAGCAATGGAATCTAGGATGCGCATTTTCTCTTATTTGGGATTCGTCAGCTAGATATACCTGCCTCCCAGTGAGCGATAATGTTCCCGCTAAGATTCGAACCTAGAGCCGACCGCTCCAAACTACAGACGGGGTATTAGAAGTGACAACATAAAAACTATACCCATCGCACAGGAAGTGGATATCGTGACTCAGTGGCCTAGTGGATAACTCTTTGGCATCTGAAACGATTGGTCCCAGGTTCAAGACTTAGTGGGAAGAACACCACTCACAGGGAAGCAGACCAATCCAGATGAACAGTCATAAATAGGAAGAAACGTACGTCCTGGACTCCACTGCTAATCACTACCCATTATTACCATTAATTTGAAACGAGGCATACGTGCACGAGCACATATGTTTCCTCAAAGGGGCAACGACGAGTTGGGCGTCCGAGAGTGACATGGAGGAAATCATGTGAGGAACAAATGAAAACTTGTGAACAGTCGTGGAGCCAGGCCAAAAGACTGCAGAGAACAGAGTGCAATGGAGATGTGCTACTGAAGCCCATGTTCCACCAGGAACCCAAGGGACAAATAATAATAAAAAAATAATTCAGTCCAGTCAATGACGGGATATTACAAGCAACAACATAAGTTCAAATTATAAACCAAAATTAGTTGATGGACACTTAGAAACCAGAAAACACTGTAGGGAAGTTTTATCAGGGCTTAGTATTCTTCGAGTGTCCAAGTAATCACCCTTTATAAAATATGAATCTCTTAAAAGGTTTGAGTCAAGTGGTGAGCAAAACAGTGTACGATAATGGCAAATTATAAAGTAAGAGAAGGGAGTTTTGTTGCCTAGCACACTTCCCAATGATTAGTTAGCTGATATCCGTCCTCAGTGTGAATTAAATGGTTATATCGATCACCCTTAAATGCCCTTATGGACAAATTCACATTGAGGATTTCAACTTTGCTGTCGAAAACACTTTTGATACTGGGTTATGATTAAAGGTGGAATAGAAATTTTGACCGCAGCCGAATTCGAAGCAGCCGAAAATGATAAACAATATGATGCTCCCCCTCTCTAATTCAGTTAGATTTGGATGAGAAGTCCTGACTAGGCAGCCAGTATAAGTACAATCAAGCGATAGTAACGCATCACGAATTCACATGGTACTCGGGCAAAATCCTTGGTGATTAGAGTGAAAGAGGAAAAAAATCTGGTCACCAGTTGGACCTCGTAGCTCAGTTGGTAGAACATCAGGACGGACACTAAGCGGTCGCTGTTCGGATCCTGCCACGGTCCAAGTTTCATCTCACCTTCAACCATCACCTAGTATAAATACTAGTCTGCCAAACCACGGCTACTTCAGATGGTCAAAATGATACAAAACACTATTTATCTGCAAAGAGAAATACACATAATACACTATGTCTGTATGAAGATTATCATCGTTACGTTCCCTGAGATCGATTCCGGATTGGTTATGCATATATATATATATATATATATATATATATATATATATGTCACGTGGTATTACTTTTGTGAAATTGTTTCTCTGCAAAAATTGATTTCCATTAATTTAGTCCTAGTGGATTACACAAACTCATAAATGAAAACAAACCTACACAAAGCCAGTATGTGCAAAAATGCTTACACAACAACATGCATGCACACATATGCAAAGCAAGGCTATTTTTTCAGGCAGAGTTTTTTTATTCTAAGAAAAACCGATCTAGGTTTGCAAACAAAATGAAATCGATCTGTATGAGGGGTAATCGGTGCTATATAGCATGGTTAATTTGAGAATAATAGACTTTTGAGAAGCCATGGTGAATGTGTACACAAAACTTATTCGTGGGCGCACATTATTTTAGTGAAATTAAAGTTAACTGAGTAACGAAATAATAATATCAATAATAGTGAAACGCTAAAATATTTTCAAAAAGACAGTGTTTATGATGATAAGTGGGTATTTCGGAATTAATATCTCTTTCATAGATATCATAAAGTGTAGTAATATCATAGCGATTACTTCTACCTAGAATGCTGTGCTTTATGTTCTACCACAGAGCTAATTATACAGCTTCAGCAATAATATGGTTGGATAGCGATTTACCCAAACCAGTGAACTGTTTCATTTTCTTCCAACTTTCGCATCAATTCTAACCTTAACTATTTTTTTCTAACAAAGGCCAGGAATATTAATGATGAACAACGGTTAGCAGTAGAATCCAGGACACGAGTTTTGTCAGCTGGATGTACCTGCCTCCCAGTGAATGATATTGTTCCCACTAGAACTTAAACCCCGGGGAAATCGCTTCAGACACCAGAGCGTTGTTCACTAGACCACAAGCTATAACATAAAAAGAGGTCAATAATGTTTATAAATTTTATTGCGCACTCTTGTATTGCTTTCTAAAGCTTTCAATGTTATCGAAATTACCACTGAGGTATTCGGTAACGTCGCTGACTACAATACTTGGGTTCAGATCTCACACAGGTAGATCAGTCCCCTCGAGGTTGCAAATATACCTTGCTGATGAGTGCCAACAAGCACAGAATCTAAGTCCAGGGCTTTCAGCCGATTGCCTCAGAACTACCATAACATATTAAGTTTAGTTAGGAGGATACCATGAACTCTTGTAATTAAAGTATTTATCTCAAGTAAAATTTTACTGTATGGTTTTTCATCTTGGACAAATGTCTGCTAGACTGAAAACGAATGGAGAATCTGGATAGCAGAGTAACAAATATGGATTGCAGCCTACTAGTTGATTGAACAAAACGAACTTTAGAAACACTACTCAATCTAAATAAAAATCTGGTAAAGTGGAAAAAAGATGCAAGAAGGACATGTTTAGATTTTCGCTATCATTTATAGGACAACTGGTCAACTATCTTGTAGATTAAGTGTTATCTGAAACCAGGAAAAACAAGAGTACAGATTAATTTATGAACCTATATAATCTTTATTGAATGAAAGCGTATGC